TAAAAACATCATTCTTAATAATTGTTATTTCTCCTGCACCATCAATAGAAGGTACTTGGATTTTATATGACATATGTCCATTAACAATAATGATCATCCCTTGTATAATTGATAATATATATAGTGTATTATCATACCAACACAATTGATGATTATTTGAATCACACTCACATTGAATTTTACATATTAAACAACAACTTGAAAACGCTCCAGATTTAATCTCATCAAATCTTCCAGATTCCGGGATTTTTGTTCCTTCTTCTATTCGATCTTCACAACTGATTTCATATACCTCATGTGGTCGTGCATCGTTTAATATATAAATCCTATTGTAATCATCACTGATACAATATGATAAGATTTTTCCTTTTCCATAATTTTCAACTTTTCTTTTGCACACTTCCATCCTCTCTTTATTTAATAAAAATTTATTACAATTATCAGTTCATTTTATTTCTTTCTTTCTTATTGGTAAACTTACATTTAGTTATGAATATTTCTTAAACTATATCTTCTTATTTGACAATACTAACTCATTCAAACACTCATAAAAACCATGACTTTAAATTACATTAAACCATAATTTCCCTTATTGCAGGAATAACACATTTATTTTAATATAAATTTATTAATTAAATACCAGAAAAAAATACTTATCTTTTTACATAAGAAAATGAATAATTGTGACCATTTAATTAAAAAGTGAATACCTATAAAAAAGTTCTTTGTGTTGAGAAGTGATTAAATTGGGTAGTTTTTTAATTTTGATGTAAGATAAAGGAGTGTTATTTAGGTTAAAAAGGTATGATTTGAAGAATAATTTTTCATGATAACAGTCGACTCGAAATAAAATGGTTAGTAAAGGATTGAACTTTGATGTTAAAAGGAGGTAGTTTAATAATAATGGATTATTTTTTGATTATAATTATTTAACAAAAATAAATACAAAATTTGTTTTATAATTTTCTTAAATAAAAATAACAAAAAAGAAACTAAAAAAGGAACCCTTTAATTTACTTTTACAATGATTCACAAAGAAGTA